GAGGTTTAAAGGATGAGGGAGGGTCCTCTAGGTGGCAGGCATCCCTCTCATGAGCAGAGCGCAAGATCCCCACACAGCTGCATGGGCAGCAGATTCACTCTGGGCGGCCCTTCCAGCCCCGCCACTCACGCAACAAGGGCCTTCTTGGTGAGCTACTGGCCAGAAAGCTTAGGACTTCTGCAGCACCTGGTAAACTACAGGAGGTCACAACTTCCATGTTTGTCAACTTTTTTTTTTAAACAGGCAGAGTTAGACAGAAAGAAAGGTCTTCCTTCAGTTGGTTCACTCCCCAAATTCCCCAAATGGCTGCTACAGCCAGTGCGCTGCGCCAGGAAGCCAGGAGCTTCCTCCTGGTCTCCCATGTGGGTGCGGGGCCCAAGGACCTGGGCCATCCTCCACTGCCTTCCCGGGCCACAGCAGAGAGCTGGACTGGAAGAGGAGCAACTGGGACAGAATCTGGCGCTCCAACTGGAACTAGAACCCAGGGTGCCAGTGCCGCAGGTGGAGGATTAGCCAAGTGAGCTGGGGCGCTGGCCGTCAACTGGGCTTTTAAGATAGCTCCTGGCTGGCGCTGTGGCTCACTAGGCTAATCCTCCACCTAGTGGTGCCGGCACACCGGGTTCTAGTCCCAGTTGGGGCGCCAGATTCTTTCCCGGTTGCCCCTCTTCCAGGCCAGCTCTCTGCTGTGGCCCGGGAAGGCAGTGGAGGATGCCCCAAGTGCTTGGGCCCTGCACCCCATGGGAGACCAGGAGAAGCACCTGGCTCCTGGCTTCGGATCAGCGCGGTGCGCCAGCCGCAGCGCACCAGCCGTGGTGGCCATTGGAGGGTGAACCAACGGCAAAAGGAAGACCTTTCTCTCGGTCTCTCTATACACTCTGCCTAGCAAAAAAAAAAAAAAAAAAAAAAAAAAAGCTCCAGCTACCTTCTTTCCCTGCCCCACCACTTCAATTTTTCACCCATCTCTACTGGGTCTAATGTCCAAACAAGGATCCACCTTGCCTTTCTTGGAAATACCATCAGGCGTATCCAACACTTCTCTTGGAAGACACACTTACTTGAAAGAGAAAGCTCCATCCCACTCCGCCATTCTTCAACTGGGAGAAAAGGGATAATTCCAAATGTTACCCTTCCTCCATGGGCTTCTTATCTAGACCAGGAAAAGGCTGCAATGATGTTTGTGGCCACAGGGACAGCTCTGTGGCCTTTTGGCAAGCTCCGGGGCAAGTATCTGGCCCCAATTCTTGGGGACTTTCATTATACCACAGGTCACTTAACACTTTTTAATTCTCAGCATTGGGCCCTAATGGCCAATTCTGGGGCAACAGGGGAAAAAAAGCACTCAATATCCAGTTACAATGAAGTATTTTTAATTCTATTCAAAAATCTAATTCAAATCCTCTTCACCCAAAGTGTTTCCTAATGCTTTATCCATTGGAGGGGGGTGGGGTGTACTTCTGTTGCCACTTCCTGCACAGCAAAGAGTGGAGTACTTCATTACAGCCAGAGTATCACTCCAATAAAGAGAAAAAACAGTATATAACCAGGGCCAGTGCTGTGGCATAGTAGGTAAAGCTGCGGCCAGCAGTGCTGGCATCCCATATGGGCATCGGTTCAAGTCTCTAGCTGCTCCACTTCCGATCCAGCTCTCTGCTGTGGCCTGGGAAAGCAGTAGAGGACGGCCTAAGTACTTGGGCCCCTGCACCTGCGTGAGAGACCCAGAAGACGCTCCTGGCTTCAGATCAGCACAGCCCCAGTGGTTGCAGCCAACTGGGGAGTGAACCAGTAGAGGGAAGACCTCTCTCTGTGCCTTTCCTTCTTTCTCTGTGTAACTTTCAAATAGAGAAATCTTTTTAATAGTACATAACCTGTGTACATTGGTTATACCTGCTTAGAAACAAGCTAGTTGTGTGATTTTAACTCTGACAGGTAACCAGGCGTGAATAAATGTTATCATAGTAGTAGCAAGGAGGTCAGCACTGTGGCCCGGTGGATTAAGCCAACACCTGAGATACCACCATCCCATATGAGCACCTGCTGGGAGTCTTGGCTTCTCATCTTTTGATCCAGCTCCCTGCTAATGCACCTGGCAAAACAATAGATGACCCAAGTACTTGCCCTCCTGCACCCATATAGGAGACCTGCCAGAAGCTCCTAGCTCCTGGCTTTGGCTTGGCCCAGCGCTGCCCATTGTGGTAATTTGGGGATTAGACCAGCAGATGGAATCTCTCACTGTCTCTCCCCTTTTCTCTAAGTGTGCCTTTCAAATAAATAAATCAATCTTAAAAAAATAAGATAGGATGACTTCTTTAGGCAAATTGGAAATGGAAATATTAAAAACACTGTGTTTAGGATATAACATTTCTTAAAATTTGTACATTAGGTTTGCTACAGAAGAACCAGTAGGGAAAGATTACAGAGAACTGCTGTCTCATCTTTACTGTTACATATGTATTATTCTAGTCTTTCTCTGTACAGATACTTAAAGACATCCTGTTTTGTATTTTCTTTTTTCATTTCTGATACTGTGATCATCTTTATCTGTCATTAATCAGTCCCCTACAAACATATTTAATGGTGCAGAACATGCTATGGTATGGCAGTGCTATGGTTTACTTAACCTTCTGCTGTTATCCAATATTCCCCAGTTGTAATGCTGCCATAAACCATCTGGTTCTTAAGATTGCTCTAATCATTTTCATAGGTAACAAAATTACTTTGGGCCAGAAGCTACAAGTTCAGGTTATTTCTCAAGGTTCATTCTGATTTACTTAACTATAAGGTCAGTATCTCGGCTGGTGTGGTCAACATGGTTCTTGCTGGGAGAACCCCAGGAAAGACATTTTTAACTTGTACTGTTCATCTCTCCATTACTACAACCAAATACCTGAGAGAAGTTACTTACAAAGGAGAGATGTTTACCAGGCTTACAGATCTGGAGGTTCAAGTCCACTCATGGGTGGCCCCACAGGTTTGGCTGAGGGCACTGGATGATGCGGCAGGGCACTTGTGGAGGAAGGATCCCACAAGCCATGCCAGAGTGTGGCTGGGCTCACCTCAGGTTTTTACAATGACACTTCTGATAAGAGCCACCTTCTGAGGGCATGCCCCAAAACTGAGGGCATGCCCCAAAAGATCTAAGGAACTCCCATAGGTCCACCTCCCAAACACCACGAGTAGATTGTTAGTATCATTAACTTTTGACTTTATTTAAATTTTTGCACGACTTCAGGAGTCCTATCATATTCAAACCACAGCACTGTCACAGGCCAGACATCCCTGCTTTAGCACTCAAGAACGAGGACCCAGAACTGGGCTGAAGTCTCAGCTAAGAGCTGGAGAGGGCTAGGTATGTGTGGAAGCTACCTTGACAATCCCTTGAGTTCCCCTAAATACACAGTATTGCATTCTCATGAGCCCCATAAGAAACCTGGGAAGGGGGCAGGCTGGAAAGTTCTTATTCTGCCCTACAGTTGGCAAAAACGACCTCTTTACCTCACTACCCAAGAAGCAGCTCAGGACCCAGGTTTCCCAGTTTCTTCAAGGCGCTCATCCCTGAACCTCTTAGATGTGTGCCCTGAGAAGTGAACACCCCCCAGTCTGGTCAACCACAGACCAGGGCAATGCTAACACCCTTCCCACAGCCTGGCATCTCAGCTGCGAGGCCACCGGGCTCCCAGGCCAATGGCAAATGCACACCCCTGAGAGCGCCTCTCTCATCAAGTGTGGGTCCTTCCCCTCACACAGTTCAGTGACCTAGCACTCGCTGAAACACACTTTCCAATGTATCTGAAGTGACCAAGTGACACCTAAGCCAGTGCTGTCTGTCATTCTCATTGGAATAGAATCCATGCAACTTTCTCAAAGGCAAAAAACAGAACACGTGTATTAGAACCAAGACGGTGCCCTGCACTTTCAACTTGGCATAAGCTAGTGGAGAACAGGGCTGGCTCATGACCCGTACTTTACAAACACGCTTTTTTGGAAGTTGGAAGAGACAGCGTGCCTTCACTCGTTTGCCTTCCTGTAAAGTCAACAGAAACCAGCTCTACAGATGCCACAAGTCAGCCTCCTTCTCAAAGAGTCTCTCCCTCAAATGTTTAGCTATTTGATGCTCACATACTCCTGCATCTTTGTGGGAATTATTGCCAAGGCCAAGTTAAAGAATAAATCTAAGAATTTATAATTAAACAGGAATTATCAGTCCTAGTTCTGAGAATGCTTGTTGTTGCCAAATTCTTTCAAGGTCCTTCTAAAAATGTTTACATATATTCTTTCACCTCAGAAAAAAATTCCATCGACAGTCTTACAACACGGTGCAGTCAGTACCCACAGAAGGTTATGAACATGCAGGATATCCACACCTTCTTGGGAAAGGGTCACCTTCACAGGAGACGCTGCCCTCATCCCTCCACTCCTCGGGGGGAGCATCCTACACACCCTGAGACCTAAATGTTGGTTCATCTGAACTTATGCTTAAAGGCCAGTAAACATCCAGGAGCTACACTGTCTAAAGTAGCCACAAGTTGTATGTGGCTTCCAAGGACCTGACATTAACTAGTTCACACCATAATATCTTGCAAATGTAAAATGCACACTAGTTTTTGAAGTCTGAGTATTAATAAAATACTATCTCAATACATTTTCCTATTGATCATATGTTGACAGACATTTTGCTTATGTGTGACAAAACATTTCATCTGTTTTGTTTTCCTTTAAAATCTGCAACATGTAAGTCACATGATATTTCAATCTAGAAATACACTTGTCACCTTTGGCCTATTTTCTACCCCATCTTCCTGTGTATCACGTAATAGATTTCTATATTCTCAGCCAGTCTTCATTCAGACGCTCCAATCCACAAAGTAAACCAAAAGAGGGACAAGCGTCACCAGACCTGACGCCACTCTTCACGAGGTTCCCAAGGAAGTTCTCCTACAAACATTACCTAGAAGCGTTCTATATACAAACCTAGAACATCCGAGTTTTCAAACCTAAATCACCTGGCAAATGATCATGAATTCTTCTGTTTATGGGTGTAGTGCAGACTCTGCTGAAATCCAGAGAATTATCCAATATGGCATTTATCCTTCGAAAGATATTGGCATTGCTACACGTGGAGAGTGCAGGCGCTTCTTGGTTGTCCCAGCAATCTTGTAGCCTTCCCACGTCTTCTTCCTAGAGTCAGAGAGAAGACACTGAGATTTTCTACACATGACACAGTGCAACAGCTGATAACTGAGCTACCTGAGCTTGATAAAGTAACTTGGGATTCTTGCTTATACATTAAATGCTCACTAAGAACAAGATACTCAGGGACTCTAAGGACAAACACCAAGATACAAAGGCATTTCCTCAGTAATCGCCTAACCTAGTGGGACACACGTGGGAATCAGCAGGACACTAGCAGCAGCCGGATGCAGAGCCAGTGGATCAGGTTCAGATCTCAGGGTACATCCACGCACTGGAGTACTGTCTCTAATATGAAGGATGCAGTGCTGATACCAGCCACATAGTGGATTAAATCTGAACACACATGCAATAAAAGCCAGTCATAAAAGACTATTATTTGAGCCCATTTATATGTAATATCCAGAATAAGCAAATCTGAAGATTAGTTGAATGGGGCAGGGGTAGGGGATGAGCAGAAGATTAGAGGGGTGGCTAGCTGGCTAATGCATACAAGGTTTCTTTTGAATGACAGGTTCTAAAATTAAATTACAGTGATGGTTGCATAACTCATAATTTACATATCATAAAGTTTTTAACGTATTCGATCTTCACAAAGCTGTTTAAAAATTCGGGTTCTCAGGGGCTGGCACTGTGGCACAGCAGGTTAAGCCACTGCCACCTGCAACAATGGCATTCCATATGGGTACTGGTTGGCGCCCCAGTTGCTCTACTTCCAACCCAGCTCCTTGATAATGTACCTGGGAAAACAAAAGATAGCCCAAGTTTGGGCCCCTGCCACCTATGACTGAAACCCAGTTGGAGTTCCAAGTCCTTGGCTTTGTCCCGGCAATTGCAGCCATTTGGGGAGTGGACCAGCATATGGAAGATCTCTCTCCCGCCCTGTCACTCTTCCTTTCAAATAGATAGAAGTTTAAAAAAAAAATTTTGGATTCTCAAGTCAACATTGTGGCACAGAAGGTTAAGCCACCACCTACAACACCAGCATCCCATACAAGTGCAGATTCCTGGCCACTCAGCTTGCAATACAGCTTCCTGCTAATGTGCTTGGGAAAGCAGTGGAAGATGGCCCAAATGCTTGGGCCCCTGCTGTCCATGTGAGAGATCCAGACGGAGTTCCTAGCTCCTGCCTTCAGTCTGACCCAGCTCCAATGGTTGTGGCCATCTGAGAAGTAAACCGATAGAAGATCTGTCCTAACTCTGCCTTTCAAGTAAACAATTCTTTAAAAAGTTGGGGTTTATCACTTATCGGCTGAGTGATCAGTTGCTTAAACCAGTGCTTCAGTTTCCTCATTTATGAAATGGGTACAGATCAGTTTTTTGGTGATGTATATAAAACACTTAGTCCGGGGCCAGCGCTGTGGCTCACTTGGGTTAATCCTCCGCCTACGGTGCCAGCATCCCATATGGGTGTTGGGTTCTAGTCCCGGTTGCCCCTCTTCCAGGCCAGCTCTCTGCTGTGGCCTGGGAGGGCAGTGGAGGATGGTCCAAGTGCTTGGGCCCTGCACCCGCATAGGAGACCGGGAGAAGCACCTGGCTCCTGCCTTCGGATCAGCGTGGTGCACTGGCCGCAGCAGCCATTGGGGAATGAACCAACAGAAGAGGAAGACCTTTCTCTCTCTCTCTCTCTGTCCACTCTGCCTGTCAAAAAAATAAAAAGTATATCCAGGAGACAGTGCTGTGGTGTAGTGGGCTAAGCCTCCACCTGCAGCACTGCCATCTCACATGGGCACTGGTTAGAGTCCCAGCTGCTGCATTTCCAATCCAACTCTCTGCTACAACCTGGAAAAGCAGAAGATGGTCCAAGTGCTTGGGCCCCTGCATCCATGTGGGAGACCCAGAAAAAGCTCCTGGCTTTGGATCAGCTCAGCTCCAGCTGTTGCAGCTATTTGGAGAGTGAACCAGTGGATGGAAGACCTTTCTGTATCTCCCTCTCTGTAACTCTGCCTTTCAAATAAGTCCTTTTTTAAAAAAATAAACTCTACTGGCATGAGAAGATATGAACAACATTACTGAATGAAAACAGTGCTCCTGGTTACAGAATCATGAACTGAACCCCTACATAAAACCATTCCATTGGTGTTGTCTATCTCAGTAACTAACATCACCATCTACCAGGAGCCCAAGGCAGAAACCTGCCATTGTTCACTCTAATATACCTCACTCTCCATATATGATGCCTAACACAGTAAGTCATGAAACACTGGTAGACAGACAAGAATTTTCTAAGAGTCTGCTTCACTTGTTTCTATCACTCCCAATCATCTTGGGAAAACCAAACAAAAACAGACCAAGTAAGAAAACTGGCACTTACGGTATCAGCTCACATCTAAAAATGTGGGGTCACTTTTTGATTAGGATACTAAAATCCATGTCAGCATGAGAATGGCCAGAAGCATTTATAGTTTTATCGACTCTGCAAGATGACCATGAAGTGATGAAACTGAGCTCCATTTTAGCCGGAATCCCTTGACAAGACTGGTATCCTTTGTAAGCTGTGAGGACAACAGAATACCCAATCCTGCAAGGTTATTTCCCTAAGCCCTCCAGAGAGGCACCGTCGAGAGCGATTAAATCCAGTGACTCAGCTCCTTTCATAACTAGAATTTTTTTTTTTTTTTTTGACAGGCAGAGTGGACAGTGAGAGAGAGAGAGACAGAGAAAAAGGTCTTCCTTTGCCGTTGGTTCACCCTCCAATGGCCGCCGCAGCCGGCACGCTGCAGCCGGCGAACCACGCTGATCCAATGGCAGGAGCCAGGTGCTTCTCCTGGTCTCCCATGGGGTGCAGGGCCCAAGCACTTGGGCCATCCTCCACTGCACTCCCGGGCCATAGCAGAGAGCTGGCCTGGAAGAGGGGCAACCGGGACAGAATCCGGCGCCCCGACCGGGACTAGAACCCGGTGTGCCGGTGCCGCAAGGTGGAGGATTAGCCTAGTGAGCAGCGGCGCCGGCCTAGAATTCTAACATGATTCCAACTTCATCAAGACAATTTCAAAAAGGCTTCGACTGCAAGCATTTACAACCTGCAGATCTTAAGGCCACATACACTTCATTCACTGCCTAACAAACAGCAACTATCTATAGTGAGCACCCCCTAGGTTAGAAGTTGCCACACTCTCAAAGGTCCCTTTAATACATAAAAACAGGGGCTGGTGTTGTGGCATAGCAGGTAAAGCTGCTGCCTGTGAAGCTGGCATCCCATATGGGCGCCAGTTTGAGTCCCAGCTACTTCACCTCTGATCCAGCTCCCTGCTAATGGCCCAGGAAGAGCCGCGGAAAACAGTCTGGATGTTTGGGCCCCTGCTACCCATGTGGGAGACCAAGAGGGAGCTCCTGGCCCCTGATTTCAGCCTGGCTCAGCGCTGGCCATTTGTTTGATAGTGAAATACACAATCGTGGGCCATCTGGGGAATGAACCAGCAGATGGAAGATCCATCTCTCCCTAACTGTTCCCCCCAAAAAGAAGTGAATTAAAAATAAGCTTTTTATTTATTGTAACAGAAATATAATATTATAAATGTGGATTCTCAGATGCTGGCCACATCTGAGGACAGGTGACTAGCAACTGTATAAGTCTTAGAGACCACCAGCAGGTATAAGAAAGACAAGGGGCAGGAAGGCCATGAGAAAAGCATCCTAGTAAGCAGGGGAAAGATGCAGACTTGGAGCCTTTAGGTTAAACTGGATTGCCCAGAAGAGGAAGGTCTAAGAACCTTACCATTCAAACATCCTAGGGAAAAAAATATATGACTTAGGAATATGTCTAAATTTAGGAGTATGGCCACCCTGCCCTGTTAGGACCTTGGGCTATAACATGTAAACTAGGCAAATGGTTCCCAGCATGCCTCCCACCCCTTCTCATGCACACCAAATCAGAGTTCTAACTCCGTATAATTGAAAATAAAAAGTAAATGCGGTGTTCAATTCGTACCTCATACTGCTTTGCCTCTTAAGTATCAACATTTGCCTTGAATAACCGAATTGCAAGGGGAAAAAAGCTGGCCCGGTTAGATGGGGAACTGATCTACCACTTTTCTTAAATGTACCATAAGGGATAAAACCCTACTGGGACTGGCATTTGGATCAGTAGTTATTAACATGCCAGCACTGTGGCATAGCAGGCTGGGCCACCATGTATAGCGCCAACATCCCATATTGGGTGCTGGTTTGGGTCCTGGCTACTCCCCTTTTGATCCAACTCCCTGTCTGACAATTTCCCTCCCTTGGAAGGCAAAATATGGTCCAGGTCCTTGGGCCCCTACACCTACATGGGAGACCCAAAGGAAGGTCCTGGTTCTGGCCTGGCCCAGCCCTGGCCATCGCAGCCATCTGGAGAGTGAACCAGCAGAAGGAAACCTTTGTTCTTCCCTAACTCTTTCAAATAGAATTAAAAAAAAAATAAAATAAAAACTCCTACATCCAATATCTAAGTGTCTAGGTTGGATACCCAACTCCAGCTTCCTACCAGTGTATACCCTGGGGAGGAAGGGGTAATGGCACAAGAAAGCAAGTTCCTGCTTCCCAGGTGGGAGATCGGGGTTGAGCCCCAAGTCCTTCCCAGTCTAGGCCCCGTCACTGTGCACCTAGAGTGGACAGGAGTGGACATGCACTCGTTTCTTTTAAAAGTCATAAAGTCATACTACTACCTCAGCTTTCTGTGACTACACATCAGGCACAGAGCCTAACACATAAGTACATGCTGGACAGAGAAATGCTGTCTGTCAATATCATCATTACAGCATGGGGTCAGAGGCCACTGCAGGGAGGAGAGACCTGCCCATTAAACGAGATAAATGAGCTAAAGTAGGGCAACTATTCCTTTGAAGACCCCAGGCCCTCCTGTACCTGAGATCCCATAACTCTTCCTTCTAATCATTTAAAAGACTTTAAAGAGTCCACTAAAGAACTAAAGATATGTCAAACAGAACTGCTTAGAACCTGGATCTACATAGCATACACTGAGCCTTTTAAACTTTCTGCATCAATGA